GGTGAATGAAAAAAACTTAATGAGGGTGAAGCTAAAGTGAGTGCTTCAAACTTGTGTGAAATATCCAGAATGTCATCCATTCAAAATTAACATAAATTTACTGCTCACATTTCAACTTCATCCTCCTTTCATTGTGGATGTCATTATGCACACTATGCCAAAAAAAAAAAACAGTTTAGGTAGTACCCCTTTACCAGCGTTTTTTTTATAAAAACGTTGTAAAAAAACAAAAGAAGACATTAGATAGCGCTTTTGATAATAAGTGTTGGCATAAGTCATCCAAATAGGAAGTGCTTTATAATATAAGTGTTGATGGATATTAAATAAAATAATAATAATTTTACAAAATTATATATTAGACATCGCTTAAATAAAAAAAAACATTGTCTTAAGATATACATTAGACAACGATCATTGTTAAATAAAAGCGATGCCTAAGTAGTACATTAGGCCGAGCTCGAAAATAAACAAAAAGCGTTGCCATAAGTGATTAAGCGCTATTTTAAAGAGAGTTTTAATAACATTGTCTAATAATACTCATAGAATCTTTGAAAATTTAACTAATTATAATTTCCAAAAAAACAAAGAGTAGGGAATCAAACCCCTGAACTATCATATATTGACAACCTACTTTATCAGCTCAGCCACTTTGCTTTTAATGTTGTTTACGCCATACACAAAATATACATAATGTAAATTATTATAAATTCCAAAAAAATCCAATAATAGAGGATCGAAACCATATTCTTTCGGAGAATATCAAATTGCTTTACAACCTGACTAATGTGTGTTTTATAATTTAATCTCCTTATTTAAAATTTAATAATTACTTTAAAAAGAAACCTAAAAATCTAGAATATTATTTCTCTCTCAACTCAATTAGTTTTCTTATTTTTCATCTCATTCTATTCCATTCTTTTTTAGGGTTTGTCACATATTCTCTTTCGTTTTATACACTTAATGTTTCCTTTTTTATTCTCTTTTAAGATTTGTGAAAAAAATTTATTCTTTTTCTTTGTACTTGCCATGAAATATTTTTAATTTGATTCTTTAGAGTTTAATTTTAAATTTTGTGGGTTTTTAGTAAAATATATGTTTGGTTACAAATAACCATAATGAGTCTAGAAATCAATTTTTAATTATTATTTAGATTGAGTCATGTTAACAAAGTATGCAAAAAAAATTTAATTATATTTATATAAAGTGAAAGTAAGAATTGTATGGAAGAATTGAAACATGTAGGAAAGTGACAAAAAATTTATGATTATGAGAATTATAAAATTTATGATATTTGAATTGAAGACAAAAAAATTGTATTGAAAAAATAATAATGAATATAGGTTTTTACATCGGTTGCAAGGCGCGTCCGATGTAATATGTATGCTATCTTTTTTAAAAAATTAGATTATTTTTTAGCAGAATCCCTGTAATTTTTTTTAGTACCTGATCTTACCTGATTAGAAATGAATCAGTAGTCTACCACGCGTCGTGAGTTGCTGCCTTCACCAATGTTGTGGAGGAGAAAGGGGATGTACCTGCAAGATGCTTTGATGCTTAAGTAAGTACTGGAACTAGAGAGAGAAAGTACATAGACAATGTGTGATGAATAGAATACCTGACCCTCTAGTGAAAGAGGGTATTTATAATGTGCCCCTAGTGCAAGGCCAACGGTTGCATTGCATTGGGCCAGATTGCAAAGCCCAACACAAGTAATTGTCAGGGCTTACGTGGCATAGTGAAGACCAACACATGGTTTTCGTCCTGGATTAACTGTCCCGTGATCTTCGGAAGGCGGGCTGACCATCTCTTTCAGAAGTGGGTAGTTGCCTGATGACATATCCCCGTGTGGGGGACACATGGAGAACATGGAGAAAGCGCATGGGCCTCCCCGCCAAGAGATCTTCTGCCCGAATGGTGATCCTTGTTTAGGCTTATGCTCGACAGATGAAATTGGGCCTTGTTGGACCTCCTTAGCATAGCACTGGGTTGGGCCTGGCCGGCTGGAGGGCAGGTCTTGGCCCAGTCCTAGGTGGATGAGTAATGACTTAAAGGCGGGTTGAAATGTCGAGGACCTCTTCGGGGGAGGTATTTTCCCGATGTATGGAATTGGGAGTCGTTTACCATGTCGGGAGCGGAGACATGTCGAGGAGCCTGGAGGGGAGACAAATGGATGTGGAGCTTTGGTGCTGCCACGTGTCAGACAATCATTGCTTAGTTAGGGCGGCTAGGGGTAAGGCCATTTGAGTGCCTAGGGGCGCCTCGATTCTCATGCTAGGCTAATAAATAGAACCGAGTCTGCTTCATTTCTCAGTTTTCACTATTACCGTTCACGATGTTGTTCCTCTTCTTGTTTTTCCTCTTCACATTCTGCACCGCGAAGTCCACCCTTCGTCACCGTACCGTCTGTCGCACCACCTACCCAGAACTGTTGTATCAAGCAAGTCTTGCATGCTTTTTGTTCTGTTTTACTTACTTTCCGACGGTCCCATGATGGACTTGATGAATGTCCCGAGGAGACCGTGGAGTTTCCGACGAATACGATGGGGCTCCCTTGAACAAAAGTAGGGTTAGACTGAAGCTCCCAGGGACGATCGATGAAGACCCCGGGGACAAAGAATGATTTTAGATGAATCCCCAAAGGACAAATGATGAATTTCTCGGGCACATAGGATAGTTTTTGGTGAATCTCTTGGGGACAAACGATTAAGTCCCCAGGGAGGTATGATAGTTTAGATGAATCCCGCGGGGACAAACAAGGAAGCCCCGGGGACATTGGATAGTTTCGTATGACTTCCTAGGGAGAAATGCTCAAAGTCTCGGGGGTCCACTCTCGTCTGTCGAGGCGGGAGAGGCTTTGTCCGTAAAAGGGTCTCCCATCTTCACCCTTTCACTTGATCTGCGGTGGAAGGGTGGATTTGATTTTGAATGTTGAATTCACTGATTTCCTCTGCTTTTCAGTTGTAAATGGCTGCTTGGGTTCAAGGAATTATTGAAAATGACAACGAGCCAGACTTCCCGATGGCGCATGCCGACAAAGAGCGCAGAAGGTCTGACGTGGACTGGGTCGGGGAGAATCCCCTGGGCATCTCCTCTCGCTTTGTTATGGATGAGTCTAACGCCTATGCCAACATCGAGGACCATCTCTAGGGTTCCCTTGTAAACTGGCAAGTGTATAAACCGCGAGCAAACCACCGAATATGCTCGACGTTTAAGGGGGTGTGGTTCCTTATGTACGAGTTTACCTTCCGGGAGGCGGGATTGCGCCTGCCCTTCACTGACTTCTAGCTAGGAGTTTTTAATTGACTTCGGTTGTCGCCCTCGCAACTACATCCCAACGCATACGCGTTCGTACGGGTGTACGAGCTCGTTTGTCAACATCTTAATATTGGGGCTACTCTCACCCTTTTCTTCCGTATCTTCCACCTCCAAAGGCAAACGCTCGATGGTCGACACAACTGGGTGTCCTTGGAGCAGCCAAGGAGGCTCTACCAGGAATATATGGATTCCATCTGGGCTTTCAAGGACCGATATTACATCGTCAATCCCGTCACTTATACGACCGTGGAATCACTTTTTAACCTCGAGGTCCGAGAAAGGGACGGGCAGTCCGAGGAGGTCTTAGTGCTGAAGGTTCCACTGGTTTGGGTGGAAGAACCCTTCCGTAATGGCACATATAGCTATATAGTGTGGGCAGGTTCGCTGAACGCCTACGATCGGGCAGCTGACTAGAAGCTAGTCGCTTTTGTGGCTAGTTTCACCCCTGCTATGTGTGTAACTCCGGATGGGAACTTTATCCTCGATTAGCATGAGGAGATTTGTACGGAGTCGCACTTGATCAATACAAGGGCCCTCCTCGAGTATGCGTCCGATGAGGAAGCCCTGCACCTCTTAGGTAGTGGGTTCTCTTTTCACTTAGACCTTGTACGCGTGTTTGTTATTAGTTTGTTTTCCTGACTTTGTTTATTTTTCTTTTGCAGGAGAAATGTCAAGCATGCACGAGCGCATGAAGAGGTTGGCGGCCAGCAAGGGCGTGAAGAAATCTGGAAAGGGGAGGGTTGCCCAGGTGTAACAGATGCCTGGTCCCAACCAAGGGCCTGGTGGCTCGTCTTCTTCTTCCCAGGGAAGCCAATCCCCCTCCTCGCAAGGGACACCTAAAAGACCGCGGGTCGGAGAGCCAGAGACCATCGACCTCATCGAAGGTAGTGCTGAGGAGAGGTTCGTGCTCCTACCTTATCATCTGCAGCACGCATTCTTCTGTGGGGCCAACTCTTTATTGGTGGGTGCCGCTGAGACAAAAGCCATCTTGGGTGCTGATCGGTAGACGGGGAAGAAGGTTCTGGCGGAGAGGAGCAAACTGGTTGCTGATCTCAATTAGGTGAAGGAAAGTAGCGCTACCCAACTTAAGCTCTACGAGGAGGTGGAAAAGTAGTTGAAGGCCGCGGGAGAAGAGAGGACGAAGCTCTTAGTGCAGATTGCAGAAGTGGAGGCGACTTCCCAGCCTACGGAGGACGAGACCGATGAGGAAAAGCTCATGGCATCCCGGGCGACTTTGGTGTCGAGGATCCAGAAGCTCGAGCAGGATTGCCTAGGGGCACTCGAGGTGGGCTACAACAGGGCGGTTCATTTTCCTGAGACGGTTAACCTGGCTAACAAGAACAGTCATACCTAGATCCTTGAAACAAACAATATGACTAGTACCACAATTCTTAACCCACAAATCATTCATGCCTAGAAACTGTTTGCTAAAATGCTCAGCCCAAAAAAGATTATAGTTACCTTCAAAAGCGCTAAAGATTTCATCATCGTCGATCTCAGGTAGAACCCACTATTTTTTTCTCCATACATCATAACCATAAGGCCATGTGATTTTCCCAATGCATGAATTGAAGAGGTTGTGCCAGTAAGCGTCATCGAATTTCTTGAGCGCGTCGAGGCCGTGTTAGGCATCAAGGAGCCCTCCGGATTAGGATCGATAAAAAAATCTCGTCGAGGGAGTATGATTAAGTGGAAGAGGGATTGGTGTTGAAAGGGGCGTATTTCACAGAGAAGAGGTGTTGGGAGACGTTAACGCGATGAGCTTCATCGCAGGTGTTTTCGTCGGCGGGACGATGATGTTTGGAGGAAGAGGACGGTGGAGTGGCAAGGGAAGAGGTTGAGTTGTTGCTGTTATTGTTGTGAGTGAGGGGTTCTGTTTGAGATTGAGATTGGGATTTAATAATAAAATTGGTGGGTTTTGATTTGGGAAGAGAATAGGGTTTGGTTTTAGTGTTGAGAGAGAAGAGTGAAGATTTAAACAGAGTTGTTGTTGAAGAAGACATCGTGTGAAAATGGGAGTGTTATTGGAGTGGCTCTATGCTTTGAATCCAACTTTCTTTGAAGAAATGAAAATGAAAAGAAATGATGACTTTTCACATCGGTTGCTACTAGGCCCGATGTAAAGGCCCACGTTTCACATCGGGTTCAAATCAAGGACCTATGTGAAATCCTTTATAACAAAACTTCATATTATTTACGAAACTGTCACCTTCTTATTTTTTTTTCCATCAGAGGACTTAATAACATCGGTGCAAAGCCAAGCCCGATGTAAAATCCTTTATCACAAAACTTCATATTATTTACGAAACTGCTAGCGCATTATTTTTCACATCAGTGAAAATAAATGTATGATGTAAGATCCCTAAATCAAATATTTTTCACTTCAAATTATTATATAACCTGATGTATAATTCTTTGACAAATAGTTTTTACATCATATATCTTGAAACCAGATGTAAAATCATTTAACCAAATGTCTTATTTTTAGTAGTGTTCCTAAAGATGGCTTGAGACAACACTTATCAATAAAAGCGCTTCCTATTTAAAGATGATTTGAACTAAATAAAATCACCGTGTAAAGTATATATAAGACTACGCTTATTAGCATAAAGTGTTGTCTAATGATAACTTAGGCCAGTGTTTTTAACAAAAAACATTATCTAAAGTATATTTAAGCTAGCGCTTTTAACAAAAAGTGTTGGCTTAAGTGTCATTTTAAGGCAGCGCTTTTAACAAAAAATAATGGCTTAAGTGAACTTAAGCCAACGTTTTTAAGAAAAAAATGCTCCCTAAAGTGAAATTAAGATAGCATTTTTAAATGAAAATGCTACTTAATGTACACTTAAGCCAACGCTTTTAATAGGAAGCGTTGTCTAAAATACACTTAAACCAACGCTTTTAACGAAAAAACGTTGCCTAAAGTGCACTTAAGCCAACGTTTTAACATTAAAAAAAGTGTTGTATATACCTATAGCAGCGCTAGAATAGACAACGCTTAAAAGCGACGTCTAAGGTCTTTTTTGCCATTGTGGGGACAAGTACGTTTCTAAACATTCTATGACTTGATATATTGTTGTTGTTGTTAATAAAATTTGTATGTTGTATGTAGTTTATATTATGTGTTGATTTTATTGTTTTTAATAAGAGTTGTTTATTGTATCTTGTATGTTGTTTATAGTTTGTTGTTGATGAATTGTGTTGATGAATAGTGTTGTTAATATTTGTTCAAAAGATGAGTTTATTATATCTTATGTGGTTTGAGTATTTTTCCAACCCTTTATCGAATATAAAACTTTTCAGATTGCATTAGAAAATTAGCAGTTGAAGAATTCTTGTTTAGCATTGAACGAACTTATCACTACAAGAAATTTGATATTTACCAACGGCAAAAATCTGTTGGTAAAGATCTAAAAACCGTTGGTAAAAGTAAAAAAAAAAAACCTATACCAACGGAAGTTTGCATCCGTCAACTATAATTCGTTATACGAACGACAATCTTCTGTCTCAATATCTTATACCAATGGCAATTTTCGAGGTTGGACAAACTTTTAGAGCTATAGCAACGACTAACTACCCTATTTAATAACTTTATCCACCACGTATTTTCGTTGGTATAGGACGAAATTAGCCATTGGTATATGTCTCTTTTGTTTTTTTACAAATATTTCTTTCCTAAAAATATTTTTTAATGATCAAATTTTAACAATCTTTTCTATATAAACCACAAAAAATTTAAAGGAAAGTCAAAGAAAAATTCAATTATATTATCAAAATAGCAAGTTTTACAAACATATCTGTTGCGGTTAGAATATGATTTCAAATTATTAATTAATTTGAATCGCATCTTTAGTTCACAACCGCTCTTTGATTTATCCGAAGGAAAAGGTCAAAAGAGGAAAACCTAATTTTGCATCGTAAAGACAATGCAGGAAGAGATCTAGGTAAGGGGTTGGTTAAGCTTAGGGAAGGTACTAGCACCCTAAACTTCTGTAGTACTCTACAGGAACCTTTTGTTTATTGTATGCTTTTTTATTTTATTATTTGTTTGAAATATATTGCTAAGGGATAGAGTGACCTAAAGACCTAAGGGTTAGTCCTAAGTTTACTCGGCAAGACGTCGCATCTTGTGCCTACATATCCTGACGGGAATGGAATCAGAGTAATTGTAGTTCCCCTCGAAAGGGAGGTTAGAAACGTCTTGACTGTGGTCAAGGTTTCAATGGGGAATAAACGTATCTTAAGGACACGCTTATATGTGGAGTCTTTGAAACTCCTATTTCTACGTTGAATTTGTTAATTAAAAATTTAGGGTTGAAATTAGGGATTCCACGGCGGGAAACCCTAAAACAAAGTACGGCGACTCTTTGACCTAAAACTAGGGTAAAGGGTATTTTTGTCCACGGCGGGACGCCTAGGTTAATTAGGGTTTGAGACGGCTAAAACTAGGGTTATTGACTCGGCGGTCAAACAACTAGACCTAATTCCTTCGGAGGGAATTCTAACGGTAAAACATGCAAACATGACAAAATATTATATGGCAAAATTAAAGTGCGGAAAGTAAAGAAAGCGTCGCGACGACCACTCGCGTAAATTACAAATCCCAAAAAAAAACAAAAACAAAATAAATCGCGACCATGGCCTCGCGTAAATTACATCCATGGAACAAAATAAATTAAAATAAATATGAATCATAATCTATGTATAATCTGAGGAGAGAAACAGAGAACGTTAGTGAAAAGTTAGACGAAAATATGGCAAACATATTTTATATTAAAAGAAACACGAAAATGCAATTTGGAATTTTTATTATTGTTTTGTTACATTTTATATTTTTTTATTAAAATTTTAGTCTTAATTTTAAAAGGTTTTAATTTTTAAATAAACAAAACTTTAGTTTTAACTTTTTATCTTTAGAAAGTTTTAATTTTAATTTTAATTTTTAAAAGAGAAAGTCTTAAATTAAAAAAAAACTCTAATCATAAGTTTTTTTTTAAAAGAAGAAGTTTACATAAAAAAAAAAGGTTCGTTAGTCTTACTTTAAAAGAATGTTAGTTTTAAAATTTTAAAGAAAGTTTTAGAAAAAAGTTTTAACCCTTTCTAACATGTTTTAATTTTTAATCTTTAAAACTTAAAAAAATGTTAATTTTAATACTTAAAAAAAGTTTTAATTTTAGGACTGGGTTAATTTTAAGTTAGTAAAAATGTTTTCACTTAACTATAAAAGTGTTTTAAACACTGTTTATTTATAAAAAAAAATTATTAGTGGTTAGTGTTTTAATTAATAAAAAGTTTTAAGTTTTTTACTTACTGTAATTATAATCAAAAACTGGTTTTAGTTATAATTCACAAAAAGGGTTTTTAGTTAGAAAAAAAGAAAAGGTTTAAAAAATGAAATGAGAGTTTAATTATTTGGAAGAGGTTTTAATTGGGATAACATAAAAGCTTACATTTCAGTTGCCGGTTGGTGATGCTTTCGCTTGTTCTTCGCCGGCGGCAATGGTTCTCGACGAACTTCTTTGGATCTCTTTTCCTCTTTCTCAAATGGAGGTGATGATGATGAGCTTCGAAACTCTTCTGAACCTCCGGATCTTGACGACCGCCGTTTTTCTTTTTGTCTCCTTTTCTGATGACCTATTCTTGATTTTCTGATGTGAATGAAGTTTCCTCCCATCACTTATGTTTATATAGGTAACAAATTAGGGTTAGCTCTAACCTAATTCCCACTTTAAAGCCCAACTTAAAGAATTAGTCAAAACTAAATTAAAACAAACTTAAAACAACTTAAAACTCTATTTATTTACTAAATATAATAAAATATTTTCTAATATTTTTAATTTTTTGATTTTTTGATGTTTTTTTATGAATAATATGGAAAAAAGTGAAAAATAATATTTTTAAAAAAATAATTTAAATAAAATACGAAAATAATAATTAAATAACTAAAAAAACTATTTTTGTTATTTTTTTTTATGAAAAATAGAAAAGTTAGAACAAAAATAAAAGAAAAACAAAAAGTGAAGAAGGTGGGATTTGAACTCTCGACCTCTCACACTCACAACTCCTTACACACGGTCTCTTACCAATTGTGCCATTTTATTCATTCAAAATAAAGTGGCACTAGAAACTATGTAAAGGTAGGACAAATTTGGGGTGCAACAGATGCCCCTATTTAAATAGCTTCACCGGATGATTTGAGCAGCGGAGACTCGAGAAATCATGGTGAAAGGGATTTAAATACAGATAACCGGAAATTTGGCCCCTAGATGCAGTGATATGCAATGATATGGACAAAATAACACGAACTATAATGCTGACAATGCCATGAATCTAATATGATGCGTATGATGAAAATGAAAAAATGCACGGATGCAGACGAAACAACGTCACAGGGGACGGCGCAATGAGGAAATGCATTGGGGAAGAAGACACGCAGTGGTGACAAGGTAACATAGGATCCACACGGCGGCAGGACTAGGTAAACGACATGCGCTAGAGTTTTCAGGACATTTCTTTAAACGAAGAGATCGAGCGGGATCTTCAGGACTCACCAGAAAACATATAGGGAGAGATAAACATCAGAACATTTCGGAAGAACGTCGAAAAGGAGACACGTCGTATCTGGAAGAACGTCAGATAGACATGACACGAAATAGTCGATGAGTGCCAAGTAAATTGGACTTTGTCCACAAGGTAAGACGCGGATAAAACACGACCTCAGGGAGAAAAATGCAAATGGGGATAAAACACCCATGTTGCCAAGTAACTAAATTCGTCCACAAGGTAAGACGCGGATAAAACACGACCTCGGGGAGAAAAATGCAAATGGGGATAAAGCACCCATGCTGCCAAGTAACTAAATTCGTCCACAAGGTAAGACGCGGATAAAACACGACCTCGGGGAGAAAAATGCAAATGGGGATAAAGCACCCATGATGCCAAGTAAATAAATTCGTCCACAAGGTAAGACGCGGGTAAAACACGACCTCGGGAGAAAAAGCAAATG